AATATTGAGCTTAGGGCTAGAGTTTCTGAAGGATTCCCTTATGCAAGGCTAACGCTGGTAGACAGATGCCAGAATTGTTTGAGAAGAAAATAGAACCCTGTGAACAAGAATTAGAGAACTGGGAGAGGCTTTGCTACAAGGCAGGGTGAAGATTTTCAATTTGGAACAGAAAATTCAGGACATGAATTCAGGTTGGAAAGACACTACTCAGAATGGTCATGGATCGACCACGCATCATGGAAGAAGCTATTGCAAAGATGAGTGGTGTAGCCTTATACATGAAAGTAATGGTAGAATAAGCTGAAGTTATCCAGACTTATATGGATCCTATCTTAGATTTCGGAAAAATAGACACTTGGCTGACAAATTAGATTTTAGATTTGAATAAGAGGGCTCGAACTTATATGTAATCGAATCGCTTGTGATATTTTGATTTTATGAATTCGACCTTATCTATAATTAAACTACTTGCTATATTTGGATTCTATTGTTGAATGAAGACTTTTCTGTGATAGGGTACTATTCGGATCAGTGCCTCTTCTTGCATTTGCATCTTTACATTCTATATTAGCATTTATACATGCACTTGTATCTTTGCATTTACATTTTCACCTGCTCTTGTATCTTTACATTGTGCATTTACATCTTTGTATTTTGCATGGAATTTAAGCATCTTTGCATACATTAATCATGAAAAGCATTTAGAAAAAATTCTGAAGGAATTTCATCCAGTGATTCTAATCACGCAACTCATCACCTTCCTTATCTCAAAGATTTTGTCGCCACCAAAAATTGTGGGACATTGAATCGTGGGGACCATAATTCGATCAAACCAAATCTCTAAACAGATGAGTGTGATGTCTCCATTGATTGAGAAAAAATTCACTTGAGGAGTCTTTGGCGCAGGTTGAGGAAAGAGGCCTAGGCGAGAGTCAAAATCCCGACTTGGTAGTGAATGGGGCATTCCGGGAAAGAAACAAAAAAAGATCACGTAGTTGTGCTGCTTGAGAATAATATGTCTTGTTTGAATTTGTCTTGTTTTTATGTCCGAATTTTTTTCAATCGAATAAATGTCATTTGTTTTTCCTACTATGAGTAATTGAGCATTTTTTAAAATTCAGTGAATATCAATTATAACAAATAAGATAAAAATTGAGCTTAGATTATAGCAAATTGCGTTAAGAAATGAGATTATAACCTTTTGGTATATGACAAGATAAAAATTCCTAGAAAAATAAGATCCACTTAGCATTTACTCATCTTCATACTCATACCTTTTACCTAAAGAGACATTATCCCCACACAATGAAACCATCAGATGCTCAGGTAAGCATAGAAGTGGACAAAATGGAGCATCATTGATTCATGACAGTGCTAGACTGATTAGTTAATATATCTGTTAAGGACGTTCGGTGACGATATATAGTCCTCACAAATGGAATGGTGGAATACACAAATTGAGCTTAGATCAATTTATTGGAAATTGAGCTTAGACAATTTCTTGGAAATTGAGCTCTAAGGAACATCTGTTATAGTTGACCACACAAAAGCATTAAGGAATTTTGTATTTAGATCAATATTTCTCCATTATCTCTGCTTAAGGAATCTATGAAGCTTAAACAGATGGAAGATTCCCGATAACTGAAAAATGCTATCTAAAAAGTCTAGCAATGAAGTGTAACAATTGCGCTATTTTCTCCGTATCCTATTTGAAGGTCATGCTAAAATTGTGGGGCATTTTGAAAACATTAAAAAACATGAAATCATGATGATGAAAACCATGAAACATTAATAAAACCAAACCAAATTACTTTGCCTTTCCCAAATCACCCATCGATCATAACACTTGTCAAAGGGCTATAATTTTGAAATCAACATGTGTCATTTATTTGATATTCAGTGAACTGATATTTTGCTTCAATTGCTTTGACATCATTTTTACACCGAAAAATAAATTTTTCAAAAAAGACATATTGAATAACTTGAAATTAAGTGAGGCATCTCCAGAATCCCTATGTCTTCCATCATTGCGTCGCTCGATGCGGTTTCACTATTCCTCTTGAAAAAATGGGCCTCACAACAATGATTCGATTGGAAAAGGGCTTTGCACACGATAAAGAATGGAAACCTAATCACGAATGATACTTGAAGATGCTACTTTTGAAGGCAAACCTTGTTGGCTATGATTAGTTTAAAATGATCAAATCAAATAGAGGAAAACCTTGCTGCAAAGGTTTCATGCAAGCAACATGAAGCATCAAAGAAGAGTTTCCATAGAAGTTTTGAATTTGCCAAGATTCTAATACAAGCAATTCAAAATACTCCGTGAGTAAAAGAGTCTGAGAACTCACAAGAAGCATTAAATATGCTTGATATAGTTTTTAAGGCAATATGCTCCTAAATAGGTATGCCTTCTTGTTCGCTAGACCTTTTTCATGACAATCAGAACAACTTTACAGACATTGAAGGAGACATCCTTGGCTGTAGAGGTTTCCACTCGAGCTTCTGAGCCATGTGAAAAGACCTTTCATTGAATATTGATGTGTCAATTACGATGATGATCTAACTAGTTCCAGTAGTTGATCACCAATTAGAATGCAAGAGCGTCTTACTCATTCTAGCAAACCATTGCCAAAGGAGCGCTTAAGAATCTCAAGAGTAAGATATCACTAGATTAAGCGAGCAAATGTGGAAAGATCATATATTTTCCATAAAGTCATCAATGTTGGAGCATATTAGATTCTAAGAACAAGGCCAATGAATAAAGAATGAGACTTTGTACAAGAAATTAAACGAGAAGCAATACATTTTTACATACATCTTAAACACACTTAAGACCATCACATTCATCATTTTATACATATATAATTTTGCAGATTTTTTTAGTCAATTTCAACTTCATGATGAAGGATATTTCACTCGAAGCACCCATGATCGATTCAACTCGCGATGAAGTAGTTATCCACAACATAGTCTAATTCAATGAAAAAAGGCTATTATTTTCGACATTGGTCTTCAAGTCTAGAATACCCCAAGTTAAATACGAGGTGCTACTTTCAGCTCATTTTTTGAGCAAGATTTCAACTTCACGACGAAAGATATTAAGCTCAATACCATTCCAGATCATCTTAGACCCGTGAAAGGAGTCGTCTTACCTGGCTTTCCTACAAAGGGGAGTTATTACAAAGAGTAAAGAATGACTTACCGCAAAAAATAATCATCTTGCTTGGCTTAAACCCGCGAAAGAGAGCCATTCAAAGAATCTTTCACTCGGAGGAATCATCCACAACATAGCTTAAGTCGAGAAGAGTTATCTTTCAACCAAAGCTTTCGAGTTTGATTCCACTCAGCTCGAGAGCGCATCAACCGCATAGTAGTAGGGAGGAACTACCTTCCTATCAAAATTCAAACCGAGGTCTTTAAGCTAAGAAGAAGACCAAGGTTGACTGCGATTTGGCAACAAAGAACCACTTCCCAGTCAAATTTTGACATAAATTAAAGCAAGAAGAGATATTTTTCAACCAAAGCTTTCGAGTTCGATTTTGCTCAGCTCGAGAGTGTATCAACCTCATGGTAGCAGCGAGAAACCACCTTCTGATCAAAATTCAAACTGAGGTCTTTAAGCCAAGAAGAAGACTTAAGTTGACTGTGATTTGGCAACATGGAACCACTTCCTAGTTAAATTCTGACATAGCTTAAGGCGAGAATAGCTATTTGTCGACCAAAGCTTTCGAGTTCGATTCCACTCAGTTCGAGAGCACATCGACCGCATGGTAGTAGCGAGGAACTATCTTTCAGTCAAAATTCAAACGAGGTCTTTAAGCCAAGAGGAAGTCTTAGGTTGACAATGATTTGGCAATAATGAACCACTTCCCAGTTAAATTCGGACATAACTTAAGGCGAAAAGAGCTATCTGTCAACCAAAGCTTTCGAGTTCGATTCTACTCAACTTGATAGTGCATCGATCGCATGGTAGCATCGAAAAACTACTTTCTGGTTAAAATTCAAACTGAGGTCTTTAAGACAAGAAGAAGACTTAGGTTGACTTCGATTTGGCAACAAGGAACCATTTACCAATCAAATTTGGACATAGCTTAAGGTGAGAAGAGCTATCTATCGACCAAAGCTTTCGAGTTCGATTCCACTCAGCTCGATAGGGCATTAACCACATGGTAGCAATGAGGAACTACATTCTGATCAAATTTCAAATCGAGCTCTTTAAACCAGGAAGAAGACGTAGGTTGACTGTGATTTAGCAACGAGGAATTACTTCCAGTCAAATTTCGACATAACTTAAGTCGTGAAGAGCTATTAGTTGACCGAAGCTCTTGAGTTCAATTCCACTCAATCTGAGAACATATTGTTCGTAAAATGGAAACAATGAACTATTTTTGGGTCAAAATTTTAAGATCAACTGCAGTCTAGCAACGAGGAACTAGTCTCTAACTGAAACCTTCAAACTCAATTTTCAACTTCACAAAGATTCTTGACCCAGAAGCACATTTTAACTCCGTAACAGAGGATACCAAGTTTGAGGAACAAATCAACTGTAGTCTAGAAACGAGGAACTAGTCTCCAGTTGCATATTCTTGAAGTCAAAAGATATATGGTTTAAAGAATTATCACCTACAATTTCAACACAGATACCGAGTTTGAAGAAACCCCAACAAAAGTTTGATCCAATTCTTAAAGAAAAACAAATGTCTCAAAACCAGAAGAGCGAGATTGCCTTCAGAATCTATATTATTTTAAGAATTGGACGAAAATTCATGTCCTTCTATCTTTTTCCTATTATAGTTACACAATAATGGACAAAGAGGAGCATATGTAGACACCCATTTTTGTATGGAATTGAATTTAAATTTCATTTGTATTTAATCTCATTACTTATATTATCATAATATTATGTAAGATTAATACTCATTATTATCATTATTATTTATTTATTATATTTATTAATAATGTTATCATTAAAATCTATTATTATAATAATAATTGGGTTTTATTAACACTAACTAATTTTCTATTACAGACCCATATGCAAAATTCGGTCCAAGTACAATAGGTCTAGTGGCCCAAAAGACTAAATTATCTAATGTGGACAAGAAACCCTAGCAATGTAGCGATGCTTAGCCGCCACCTTTATGCTAGTTAGGTCGCATGTTGTAAAAGCGCCGACTCCATGTGCTCGCTGAATTCCACACGTCAGAAAGTGATCCCTCTAGATTTCGTTCGAGCCATGTTTTGGCAAGTAAAATCTTCCCCTGTGAAAAAGAAAAAATGCAATCAACATCGAATCTGGAATATCACGAAGATCTTGGTGTTTAATGTAAAAGACATGTGAAAATCTCTTATTTTCAATGGAAGTAGAAGGGATTTTCTTATATATAAAAATAGGGAATTCAAATGTAAAAAAAGGGGGACGGAAAAAAAAAAGAGATAACACAATCGTATTTCAAAAGCAAAATCAATAAAATAAAGTTCTATTTTTTTTTATTTGCATGTTCGAACAAAATCTGGTAAGGCCTCCAACGAATAACCTGTAAAAATAAAAAGAGAAAGAAACTAAACCGGAAAAAAAAGAAGGCCTTACCCATTTGGTCAGTGAGCGAGGACGGTGATGGAGACCTCCGTTCGAAGATCCAAACGGTGAGAAGGGAGAAGAGGTCATCGAGAGAAACATACTTCAATATCACGACGATCCAGCCTGGGAAGTGACAGATCGGAGTGAAAGAAACCGAATTATTTTCATGAGAGACGGTGCACTTTCTGGCGAAACCAACCCAGATCCGAACCCCCTCGTCGAGACGAGTATCCCGGTGTGACTTGGAGCCCATCGACGGAGGTAAACGACGATCGTCAATCAGCAGGAGGCCATGACCAGATGCATTTGTAGTGAGAGGGGAGAGATTCTCTCTCTAAGAGAATTCATTTTGGTCCTTTTATTTATATTTTTTATTATATTTTATTTTTAATTTGGTTATTTCTCTTTTATTATTTATTTTAATATTTTGTGTTTTATTCTTATTAATACATAATATTTTTATTTTCAGGTTTCTTTCGATCAAGGTTTATCATTTTTTATTTATTTTACTTTAGTTCTTTTTATTTTATTTTATTTTTTATTTACATTTTACATTTATATTTTATTATTGCCTTTTTTTACTAACATTAGTTTTTTTTTATCTTTCAGGTTTCCTCACGTCAATTGTATAGTTTTGTTTTTAAATATTTTAGTTTAATTCATTTCATTATTTTTATTTTCTTTTATTCCTTTAATTTATTCGTTTTTCCTTTAATGGATGTTTTGTTTCTAAATCAATTTATTTATTTTGATTTTGATATTTGTGCATTATGTTATTTTATTTATTTGTTACTTACATTCTACTCTTTTATTTTTTCCCATTTTCAAGATTCACCCTTTATTCCCTCTATTTATTCCTTTTCAAAAGTTTTTATTTATTTGACTTTTCATTGTTGTGTGGTTTTATTCTATCGATTGCATAACAGTCTTTATCTTTTAAGCATGAAAACCTCGTACACATTACTTGAACTCTTTCCAATAATAAATTAAAAGGCCATGTGCATTCAATTTAAATCATCAAAGAGATTTATCCTAATCCACCTGGGTAGCTTGATTTGGCCACTTAAAGTGAATGGGTATCCCCCAGTGCAACCATAAAAAAATATGACAGCCTTTAAAATTGATTAGGATGGTAGAATGGGAAATGTTCTCATATTTATATTTATTGAAAATGAGTCTCTCGACCCTATTCGGAGGTTTAGATTTGATATTTATAAATATTCGAACATCGCCTATTTATCTTAAAGGCCGGTAATTCTCATTAATAAAATCCTTGATTGTCGCACAACTTTAGGTAAATAAATACCATGAATTAAGTATTCGTTGTTGTCTTCTAGGGAATTGTTTTTCTACCCTATATTAGGTGGTGATTCTCTTTCGGTTCGAAACATTGGAACGTCAATTAAAGTTTTTGATGAAATGATTAGTGATTGAACGATTTAATTGAGAATGAAACGTCATTCTTCCTCGTATAAGGTGGTTAACTTTTCCTAATTAGATGTTCGAATCGTTAATTTTCCTCTTGGGTTTTAAATATCATGATATTTATTTAACTAAATAGGAGGTCATTAATTAAATTAATTCTAAATTCAAAAGTTTCATTGCAAAGACAATAATTAATTGAATAGATACCGATTTCTAAGTATTGTGGGGGTCACTACAAGAAATTTCTACTATTGTGACAAATTTAATTTTTGTCAAAATTAATTTTATCACTATTAGTAGCTTTTTAGTGACAAAATAAATAATCGTCGCATTAGATTAAAAAAAGATATATAATTATGACAAAAGCTAAAATCGTCATAATAATTTGCCACAATTAGCAAACATGTGTAACATATGGTAACAAACTAAATTTTATTATGAATTTTTATCACAAATATTTCCATCCAATTTTTTAGTGCCAAATTGAAGGCATATAGTGACAACTTTTGTAACTAAAAGTTTTAATAACCATGACAGAAAAAATTGTCACAACAAATAATGAGATTTAGATTTGTTGTGACAATTTTTGTTTGTAATTATATATTTTAATTATAGTGACAAAATGTATAGTCACAAATGATTATCTCCAATTTTTGGTACAAAAACAAAATCATATAATGACATGTTTTGTAACTATAAACTATAATTATTGTTACAAAAAAATTGTCACAACAAATAATAAAATTCAATTTTTTAGTAAAAAAATAATATTTGTCGTTATATGTTTTAATTATAGTGACAAAATATATTGTCACAGATATTTCTCTCCATATTTTTTACGTCAAAAAAGTTATATAGTGACAAATTTTATAACTATAATTGTTAATAATTATTACAAAAAACATTGTCATAAAAAATAATTACATTCATGTTTTGGTGACAAATTATATTTGTAGTTATAAATTTTAACTATAGTGATAGCATATATTAATTCTTATAAATAATTTTCTTCACTTTTTTATTTCAAAAGTTATATTGACAATTATTATAATTATAATTTTTAATTATTTTTATAAAAAAAAATTATCACATCAAATAATAAAATTTAAGTTTTTTTATAATAAATTATTTTTATATTTATATATTTTAATCCTTATGAAAAATTATACTATCAAAATCTTTATATTTCACGCATGTTTTCGCTTGGCCATTTTTCCTCTTTGTGCGCCGCATCTCTCTCCTCCCTTCTTTCTTTTTTTTACCATTTGCAAACCCTAACCCCCAAAAAGATTAAAACATTATCAAGTCTCCCTCTACTCTCCACGGCTGGGGCTCTTCAGATCCAATAATGTTACTTCTCTGACCACCAATAAACGAATTTGAAACCTTCATTTTCATCTACCTTCTCTGGTTCTCCGATCATTCTCCACCGTCCTCTAAAACCTCATTAACGGGAGGATAACTCTTCGACGTTTCTCCTCGGAAGCAATGGATTCAGTACTCCTTATTATAAGCATGTCTCCTTGTTCAGCACTCTCGGGAGGATAAGCCTCCCTTATGCCTCCTTATTATAAGCATGCCTCATCAACGGGAGGATAAGTCTCCGACTTGTCCCTTATTTTTACTTAATCGATGTCAAAGTCCATTACGATGGGATGGAATTCATTTAAACGCAGGGTATAGTTTCAATTAACTTAATCAATTTTTACTTTGGGCTGATTCATATTCGAAAAATTGAATTTCTTCTATATTTATTATATAAGATTAACTTTTTTGTATTCCTGATAATTTTCCGTGGTAGTTTGACTTGAAAAATTGTTCATAATTTGATAATGCAGTTGGATTCGTTAATGGCGGGATCTAAATACGACTCTGTTTCTTGAAGGATTTCTACATTCCTACCTATATACTTAATGATGAAACAAAGAGCTTCAATGATCATGATCCACCAAAATTTCCAGTGCTAGTTTTTATCAACTCCAAAAGTGGCGGTCAGTTGGGGGTGGGAATCTTCTTCAAACCTATAAAATTGTCCTCAATGAATTTCAAGTAGTTTAGCATTGATTTAACTGTTCCAATTCCAAAAGCATACCTCCTTGTTCAGCACTCTCGGGAAGATAAGCCTCCCTTACGCCTCTTTATTATAAGAATGCCTCATCAACGGAAGGATAAGTCTCCGACGAATCTGAAGAGGTGCTGATGCTGATGTTGATGTTTTCCTTATTATAAGTAGCAACAACAGTGGTTTTATTGGCCAATAGAAAATTTCCAAGGTGGTCTCGGGAGATTCCACCTACTGCAGCTTGTCCAGAGACCGTCGAGACTGCTCCGTCTGTGTTTAAACAAATAAATCCCGTTTCAGGCAGGCTCCATTGAATCATCGAAGGAGTGCGATTCCTAGCTACCGGTGATCTAGTAGATGAGGCGTTTGAACATTTTGCCCACATCAATCCTGCTCGAAGCAAGGAGTTTGTTGTGTTTGGTATGTTTTGGAAAATAGCTGAGTTTCGTCCTTTCCAAAGGTGCCAAGTCGTGACTAAGAATGTGAAATTCTAGGGGCATTGAGCAGCAACACTTTGGGAAGTGGTGCAAAGGTTTTCTAAGATCTATTCGTGTAGGGGAAGGGTGTAGAATGCAGACACATATGTGCTTGGAGCTAGTTGTTGCTAGAGATCTTGGGCGATTGAGAATATGAAGTAACGTCTCGTCAGGCGATATGCATTTTCCACAAGAAGCATCATGAGTAAATCAACGAGCACACCTGATATGATTTGTAAGGAGTCTGTCACGGTAAGCCAACCAAAGAAAGCATCGGATTTTCTCTGGAGATTGAAATTTCCAGATTAGATTCCAGTTCGGGTTGTGGTCATTCCAACTTGATTTTGAGATAGTTTCATAGGCATTCTTCACCGTTAAAATTCGTCGATTGTTTATGTTCCAGTAGCAGATATCTCAACCCAAGAAGATGCATGGTGGATGGGAACTAAAGAAGAATGGAATGGTTGCTGGGGTAAGGATTCGGTTCAGAAGGTTCCAGTTCCATGTTACTTCACCTTTTGATATTTCAGTAAAATTATTTACTGTGATCGAATCATCAACGGGGATATTTGGCATAGTATGATCGCGCAGAGTTCCAAGTTCTGGGATACATACATCACTCCAAAATTTTGTAACTGTACCGTCTGCAATTGACCATGCAACGTGTTTTCAGAAGTCGATCCAAGCTTTAGAGATGGAGCGCCAAATCGGTTATTTTGTATTCTCTTTAAGAATGTGGATCCATAGCGGCGTTGGGTTGGATAAGTGTCCATTGCAAATTTTCATTAGAAAAGCGTAATTCTGATTTCCCATGGATCTTAAACCCAGTCCTCCAATAGGTTTTGGTTGACAGACAGCTTCCTAGTTTACTAACGAGACATGTGAAGAGGAATAACCCCATATGAAACATCGGACGAACTTATCGATGTTCGAAGAAGATGGACAGAAGGAGTTTACATGTTTGCATTAAGTATATTGGAATGCTTTGGAGAACAGATTTTGCAAGTGCGATTTCTCCCGCGAATGAAAGGGTACGAGCTGACCAACCCGAGAGTTTTTTACGCACTTCGTCCAGAATAAAAGAATATAGTTCTTTTGTTGCTCCAGGATGACGGGTCGAGGTAAACTCCAAAATTTGAGACAATTTTGTAGCCAAGGATGCTGCATATTTCATTTTTGCATGACTGGATCCATGTTTGGCGAGAAATTTTGGAGTACTCCTTATTCAGTACCTCTTCAGATTCGTCCAAGATTCGGGAGAATAAGGGAGAGCTACTCCTTTTGCATGCCTTCCGGAGGAGGTTTTATAGAACCCCTCAATAATACAAAAAATCAAATAATGAAATGATTTTTTTTTTCCTCTGACTTGCTTCTCTTTGTTTTG